CTCTCTCTCTCTCTCTCTCACATGCATTACAGTAGGCTATTTTAGATTAGGAGCCTGCTTTCCTGCCTCCTTTGCTTCCTCTTCTGTCTTTCCAGACAGCCGGGCTTCCTTAACAGCACGATGGTATGCCACGGATTTCCGGGATTTCTCCGCTTTCTTGGCTGCTTCAGCATCATCAGCACTGTTCTTGGCTTTGCTCTTGGCTTTGGCAGACCCTTTCGGTGCCGGTGCCGGATCCTGCCGTTTGCGCTTGTTGCTGGCGGCACTGGGAATCGGAACCTCCTGCTCTTCTTCCTTTGCCTTCCTCCCCCTCTTGCCTGCCTTCTGCTCCTTCTCCTCTGGCTTGCTCTTAGCTTTTGGGGTCGCCTTTGCTTTGGCCTTTGCTTTGGGGCTTGCCTTGGTTTTGGGGGTCGCCTTTGCTTTCGGGGCCGGTTTTGCCTTGGCCTTGCACTTCCCCTTAGCCTTTGCTGTGACCTTGGGCCCCTTGCCACACTTTCCGTCATCCTCATCATCAGTCTCATGGTTGGGGCCAATGCTGGGCTCATCCTCACTCTGCTCATCTTCCTGTTCCTCATCTTCCTGTTCCTCCTCTTCCTTACATGCACGGCCACGGCCACGGCCACGGCCTGGCTTCGGCGCTCCACGGCCACGGCCACGGCCGCCACGACCTCCTCGGCCCCTTCCCGTCTTCAAACCCAAGGCTTCTCGCTGCTCCGCAGGTGTTGTGGGCTTGTGGTCCATTTCAACTGGGCAAGGAGGCAATGTATGCTCATAAAAGACAGTAGCCTTGCTGGGGCTCACAGCCTTTGCAGGGACCTCTGAAGCCTTTGCAGCTTCTCCTAGCTTCCCATCCTTAACATCAAGCACCACATCATCTTCTAGGGGCTCCTCCTCCCCATCTTCGTCGCAATCAGACTCCGGTGCAATTCTCAGGGATACACTAGAAGCCTGTTCATCCTTCCCTTTCATATCCTTTTCCACAGGCACCTGAAGCCTTCTACATGTCCCCAGCAAATCTGCACCCATGCCATCCTCCAAAGGTGCCTCCATACATGGCTCATCAAAGCACAGCTCCTGGGGAAGGGTGTCGACCAAGTCTGGACCTCCGATGCTGCTAGCAGGATAATGCCCAGGCCTTAAGGCTTGAACAATTGCAACAACATGTGGCACATCTGCAGCATTGCAACCAAGTAGCAAACCACACCCACGGGCTTCACGGAACGGATCACTGGGGCTTCTTCGGCTTCACGGGACTCTGCTTTGGCTGACTCCAGGATTGCAGTCGGGGCTTCTTCGGCTTCACGGGACTCTGCTTTAGCTGACTCCAGGATTGCTGCTGGGGCTTCTTCGGCTTCACGGGACTCTGCTTTAGCTGACTCCAGGATTGCTGCTGAGGCTTCTTCGGCTTCACGGGACTCTGCTTTAGCTGACTCCACAATTGCTTGCGGGGCTTCTTTGGCTTCACGGGACTCTGCTTTGGCTGACTCCACGATTGCTTGCGGGGCTTCTTTGGCTTCACGGGGCTCTGCTTTGGCTGACTCCACGATTGCGTGTGGGGCTTCTCCGGCTTCATAGGCCTCTGCTGCGGTTGACTCCCCTGGGATTGCTGCTGGCAACTCATCATTCACAGGGGTCTTCTTTGGGATTTTTGTTGGGGCCACTTCTGCTCTCTTTTCGGCTTCCACACTGCGTTTGCGCTTCGTAAGCTCCTGTTCCTCAGCCTCCAAAGCAGATCGCCTCAGGGCCTGCTCAAAAAACTCCTCTTCCTCTTGCAGTGCCTTTTCATAATCCTTTAGCTCCTGCAGCTGCAGAAGCTCCTCCAACAAGGCCTGCTGCTTCTGCAAGGATGCCAGCTCCTCCAGCATCATTGCTTGCTCTGGGGTCACCTCTGACTCAGCTTCGGTCGGGGTGAGGCATCCTTTTGGTCCCGCATCACGGGGCGGAGACCCTGCTTTCGAGGCCCTACCACTTGACTTCGAGGCTGTTTCAAGGCGTGCATCCAAAGGTTGCAGATCGGGCAGGGCAAAACATTGCCTGGCTTTCAGCTCCCTGATGTCTTGTGAATTACCCCCACATAGGACACACAAATAGCCATAGGAACGATCCTTTACCAGATAGTGCTGCTTGCGCTGCTTTGCCTGGCTTCTTGGGCTCAGCGGTTCTCTACCTTGGATCAATAAAAGGCTCAGCTAGGTTTTAAAAGGTTTAGGGTTTATAGGGCTTAGGGCTAGGGTTTATAATGCTTAGGGCTAGGGTTTATAATGCTCATGATGCCACACAATTGCCTTTCTGCACCAGCCTTTATGTGAACTAGCACTTGCCACCTGGGTGCGTGGAGGCGGCGTCACGATGGCTGGTGATGACGAGGATGCAGCAGAGCCTTTGCTCACAGCAGGGTCACACATGAGGCTTTGTATGGGTTTAGGGTTTAGGGCTTAGGGTTTAGGGTTTAGGGTTTAGGGATGCATATGTGTAATGGTAATCAAGGGACCTGGCTTGTTCATTCCCGGCATTGGAGGATCTGTCGTTGTCATATCTAAGTCAGCCTTAGTGATCGTGCATCCAAACTTGACTTTGCAGAAAAACAACCAAGTGCACTTGAATGGATGTATTTGAACCAAGGTTCCAGTGGCACACGCTTGGGAGGGTGTGGGGCCACACCATGGGTCGGCTTCTCCTGATAGATAAACTTATTGCGATAGCCATATAATCTCACGATGCAAAACTCCAGGGTCTAGCTATGGGCAAGAGGCTTCCGCGTGGTTCGAGGGCTTCATATCCACACATGGTCTTGCCACCTTAGCTGCGATGCTACTAATTGTAGGGGTATAGACTATAGAAATTGTATGCATAAATATCGTGCATGAAGGGCAGCTTCTTGCCAGCTAAGGGACAGCGACCGGTCCTGGAGCTCCATCCTCTAACTCCATCACCTCATCATCCTCTCCAGCTTCCGACTCTCCAGCCTCTCCTTCATCTTCTCCTTCATCAATCTCATCATCATCATCGTCATCTCCTGCCTCATCCCCAGCAGCTGAACCACCTCGGCTCATGCACTAGATCATATATATATATATATGCGATCTAGAATACTCAACTCGATGCATATCATTGGGATTGAGCAAAGGAGCGGGAAGACGGGATGGGGATCCCTGAGGATTTAAATAGTCGGCGGACCCCTTCTTGGCGGGGTTCATGGGGACGCTTCGCCAGCTGGGAGAAACAGGTGATCAGGCGCCGGGCCATCCAAGCCTGAACCTGGATCTCATGGCCTAGGATAAGCAGGCAAAATGCACATCGTAGCATGCATATCCCTACCATGCACATACTGCATGAATCTAACATAGACTGCTAGCTTAGTTGCTGGTTGGCATTCGAAGGTTCATGGGGCGAAAGCCCATGAAGAATCTTCGAAAATATTCGGCGATGACGTTGACTGATGGTCGTAAACCTCGATTGCAAAATAGTGCAGCATGAGAGGCTCCATTACAACATGCGATCATGTGCATGTTAAGGCAAGAAACCCAGATTGTTGATCATCGGCCCAAGCAAATCCACATTCTCACCGAGATGCTCACGTTTGATTTTTTTGGTCTCCGGTGGTAAAAAGACCAAACAGCCCTGGATCAAACGATTCATGACGGTTGGACTGCTCTTCCAAGCCTGCAGGATCACACATGGGTCCAGGGAAGCTTCAGAGACTTCAGGCCCCGCAGCTGAGTCGGCCATGGTTTTCAAAGAAGCTACGAGCTTGCTAGATCGATCAAAACACATGTTGCAATGTAGCTGTATCATGTGCATCCCACAGTGCTACATGCATATGCATGTAATGCCTATGCGAGCTTTTGCGAACATCATCACGAAGGTTCAACCAGTGACACCTTGAGCACACATATCGATTGGAAAAGCTCGATGAACACATGCACATCAACTCTTGAAGTAAGCAGATGCAGGGCTAGCAGTCCTTCCTCCAGTCAAACCTCGCACCACCGCCCCCATGCCAAGTACCTGGTGCTTGTCCAAGGATGTGCCGCACTACATTGGCTTCTACGTCTTCAATGCACAGACATACAGAGCACACACACGTGCACACAAGGGGGGGCGCACTTCGACCCAGCGTAGTGGCTCATGGGCTCACATGTATGGTTCGGTATCGAGCCACTGAGTGCTGTCGAGCAAGATCGATTTCTAATTCCCGTAATGAGCCCTTGAAACTTAAGTAGGGGTCAACATAAAGTCTTTCTAACCCTGTAAAACCCTTAAGTCGATGGTCAAAGCCCATTGAAAAGCCCAAAATGCAAAAGTGTTCGTTTTCACACAAAAGCGCTCGACCCAGAAAAACCCTACGATTTAGAGGATAAATATAACAAATCCCATCCGAGAGGAAATAAACATTACGGATGAGGCCCCAGGGTCAGAAGCATGTGAAGCTGAGAACCACGTGGCCGTGGCTCAAGGCGGCATCAAGGAAGTGAGTTTGGAAAAGAGCCATGCGCTTTGCTGTGCCACTGTAGCTTCCGCTACAGTAGGGTTTGGGGTTTAGGATTTAGGGTCTTGGGTTTGGCGTTTAGAGTAGAGGGTCCAGGCTCTTGGCTGTATGGTGTAGGGTTTAGGGTCGGTTCATCTGCATGAGTCAGGGTTGACAGTATACCACGGAAAGTTCGAAGGATCGAGAATGAGTAGTTAGTTTCTTCCGTTCAGTTCTGCAAGGCTCAGCAGCTGTAAGGTTTGTGAAGGAACATCCATGACAGCTTAGGCTGGAGTATAGACGCCTGTATAATTACGAATATTAGTGTTCCTCAAGGTTCGTTGTGATTTTTATGTTACAAATCACAGCAGTATGACCTCAAAGCCCATTCCAAAAACCAGGAGCGTTATATGACACAAGGCTTCACATCATACCTTCGTTCAGGAGGAGCGTGTAGCTAGTGTAGCTTTGAGAAATCATGCGAGCGGGAGGCATCTTCACAGTAGAAGCTGTATGTGATGAACCCAAAGGCTTTCCGCGTTCCACTTCCTTTTAATAGTCATTTATATATGTATATGTTATGTGACGTGTATAGGTGTACATGTACATATGTATAACCGCGCACACGCGCACACACACACAGATACAGATATATATATATATACTTATGTATGTACATACACCAATTTGTTTATTTATGCTACCCTGCCTCAAGTATCCACTTTTTTCGTGGCTTCCCAGTTCATGTGCGAGAGCATTCTCCCAAAACTCCGGAGTCATATTCAGTTGTTGATGCGACCCCGTGCTTATCGGCTCTGGCATTGTGCTGTGAGGATTGTCTTCATCTAGGCCAGGCGTAATGTAGTCAACATAATGAAACAAAGTTGCCCCTAAGGCTCATACCAGGCTAGCTGCAGGATCGCTATTCTCCCAACCGATAGGGGATAGAGTTGAGGGCTGCATGTCAGCTTATAAGTTCCCATCTTACAATCAGGCTTCCGGCTAATGCTTTTGCGCCAGGCATTCATGATATTCCTGCAGTTCAGTCTCAAAGTTTACATTTCAGGTAGTTTTGTTGGGGAAGGGGGTGCGGTATTGAGGGTTATGTAAAATTCGCCATTGCGACCAATATCAGTATCAGGGCCCAGTCCCGAGCCTAGTGTTTAAGTTGACGCTGTCCAGAATGAGGACACACTTCAATATCACATAAGGTTTCCATAGGGGCTGATCTTTGGTCCGCATGTAAATATCAGAGTTGCCATTGGGGTGAATATGGGGCCGCTGAGCTTGGGGAATAAGCGTCGGCAGTAGTGAGTAATGTTGTAACGCGGATACGGGCATGAGTGGTGAATGATGCTATGACGGCTAATATGGGTATTAGTAAACGCTCATGCTAAGTCGGCTAGCAGTACTTCAGGGTTGAAGTAGCTTTGTTGAGGCCAATATGAGGGTTGCCACTTAGGTCATTATAGTAATACTAAGCTGCAACGCAGGGTTGGAGTAGAACATATGTTGGGGTTGCTGTTTGATTCCATTTCTCAGTCAGATATGAGGGGCTTCAATAAGGCTTCAACGTCCATATTGCCGTTGCGACCATTATTACTATCAGGAATTATGTTAAGGGCCGCCACTGTTTATCGTCAGCCATTTCCAATAGACTTCAGTGCGCACCAGACGCAAAACAAAGCTACATGCTATCGTGGAATTGGCTTGCATTCCGCTCTGGAAAAGTAGGCTATCTTGCTGGCACTCATAGTAGGTGAATATGAAAAGCTGTGTCATTCTTAGGTGTATTGCTACTAGGAATAAAGTTGGGGCTACCAGTCCTGTCTGTTACAGCATTTTTCCAACGGACTTCAGTGAGCAAGATACGGGAAACAACACTAGTATTCATCGTGATATTTGCATGCAACACTGGGCAGAGTAGGCTATCTGCTGTCACGCGGCCGGCCACGTTTAAGATGGGCAGGGCAAGTGCATTGGAGTTAGTATTGAACTTCAATAGGATTGAGCTTCAGTACTGCCGGATCCAGGAGTTAAGATTCAAGATTCCACTATTGAGATTTTATTTGCAGGACAAAGCTTCCCAGGATCTTGAATCTTGATAATCTTAAATCCGGGACTATTGAAGTTCAACCTTCGGGATTGAAGTTCAATACTCGGAATTCCTCGGGACCGCTCCCAGTGTCCAAGCCACATGCATCAGTGCAGTAAACACGTGCGGCTTCTATTGTATCTTCTGCTGTTCTGTTCTAGATTCTAATACTGCGCACATACTGGGCGCCTACAATAAACATGTACAGACATGCACAGAGTTGTTTTTTAATGAAGTTGTGACGGCAGCAGTACAAATAACAATAGCGACAATAGCAAACCACGACAATGGCACTACTGCTCCTAAACCCTGCTCTGAAACCCACGCCGAAGGTGGATGACCCTGGGTCCGAAAATCCCCAACTTTGCTCCCAAGCCTATTCTACCTCAAACCTTAGACGAGTTCTTGAGGCTCCTAAACCCTAAACCTCTCAACTCTACACCCTTAAATTTTAAACCTCTATACACCCTAAATTCCTAAAGCCCGCATTCGATTTAGTGGCAAGCCCAGGCATTCGGCTCATCAGAGGGCTTCAAATGCTCAGAGACGGCGAGCAGCTGTCGTTCCTTGGATTGAAATGCCCGAAACCCAAAGGTTAGTTCGGGTGTAGGGTTTAGGGGCTTAGGGTTGGGGGTTCTGGGTTTAGGGGTTTAGGGTTAAGAGTTTTAGGGNNCAGGGTAACCAAAAGTTAAACGGTTCATCGGATTTTCATAGGCTTCTGTTAGGCACGCTTTAAGCCCATGTCGGACTCCCATGCTACATATCTGTCCCGCCATAATGTTTTTACGGCTTGTGTTTCTTGCTACGTTGTTGCTGT